GTGCTATACAGTAGGACACTGTTGTTCATCTATATCTATTTTATATACAGTAGCTTGTATCTGCTAATCCCAAACTCCTAATTTATCCCTCCCCCCCTTTCCCCCTTGGTAACCATAAGTTTGTTTTCTATGTCTGTGAGTCTGTTTCTGTTTTGTAATTAATAAGTTCATTTGTACCATATTTTAGATTCCACATATAAGTGATATCATATGATATTTGTCTTTCTCTTTCTGACTTACTTCACTTAGCATGATAATCTCTAGGTCCATCCATGTTGCTGCAAATGGCATTATTTCCTTCTTTTTTATGGCTGAGTATCTTCTTTGTTCTGATAAATTTTTTCCGTTTCTGGTAAGGAATAGAAGTTTAGAAAATTGAATTTCCTAAATTCAGTCAATGTATCAATGGATGCCCAGGGCCATGAAAGCTGGCTTCCTGTCAAGTGCCAAGGGATTAATATTTTAGAAAAATGTCCTGTGTTCTGGAAGAGTGAGGTGGATCCCAATACCTGGGCAGTACAAAACAATAGGACCAGTCATTACCTGAAGGCAAATTAATAATATTAGTTGACTATTGTGCAGAAATTTCATGGCTTACAAAACACTTTACATACTATCCCTTTCAATGCTCAGAAGAATCCAGTGTAGTAAGTGTATCACCAATGGCCAGTAAGCAGCAGAATTATGATTTGAAGCTAGATTTCTAGACGCAAATCTTATAACCTCTCCATCATTTCAAAAAGCTTCTCATCAGGACTCAGTAAAATGTAGGAGATGCTTTAAGGGGTGGAAGCCCACCCCAACACAGCATAGCCCCCCTGGTGTTCCTGGTGGAGTCAACATATTGGATTACGGCATTTTCTATGGCAGATCTTGTAATTAGGGGGCTGGTGGGAGGCTGGATTTCCTCTAACACAATGATTGACATTATGGGCTGGTTAATTCTTTGTTGTGGCGACTGTCCTGCGTGTTGGAGGAGGTTTAGTAGCAGCCCTCACTTCTACCCACTAGACGCCAGTAGCACCCTCCCATCATGACAACCAGAAAATGTGTCCCAGACGTTATCAAATATCCCATGATATAATTGCCCCTAGCCGAAACCCAGTGTTCAATATTAAGCTCTGTTCCGTCAGGTCAGCATCCATCACCATAGATTACAGGGTTCAGGAGCACTGGAGAGAAGAGATCACAAACTCAGGGTTTAAAAGACTTAAAAGAAACCCAAGTTTCTAAAACTTGTAGGGAGCAAATACAGGAGATTGGACGTTTTTAGAAAAACACCAACATGCTAAGAAAAAACTTTACAGATAGAGGTGATAGGTTTAAAATTGACTTTCAGTCTTAATTTCTGGTATTGTATCCATCTCCACCAGGATTGTTACTGATGCTGCTGGCGTCAGAAGGAAAGGAAACAGAATAAGAAGCTCAAACTACAGTCTCCAGGACCCAGAAACCAGCTTGGCAGGAGGGTTCCATACCCTTCCTCCCCTGCCCTTCTCCCTGGGCTGAATGTGTTCTATCAACAGTCCTTCCAGATTATGGGCTACCTTTCCAGAAAGGCTTTCAGCAGGTGGTTTGTCATAAAAATTTGGGGACTCCTCCCTCTGCCCCTCCTTCTCCTTCACCCCTCCCTCCTCCTCTTTTTCTTGCTTTTTAAAATCTCTTCTACCATCCAAAAAGCATTTGTTCAAAGTTTAGTTTGTTTTGAGAACAGTGCAAATTCACATGAAAAGAAAACAGAAGAAACGCTCACTAGCTAGATGAGTTCGTGGTGGAGTGACCATATAATTCACTGTCCAAACTAGGACACTTTTGAGAGCGGCAGGGGATGCTCTTATGATCATGCTGCCGAGACAGAAGGCATAACCTGGACCATCCCATGCTAAGTGGGACAAAGTGTCACCCTAGTTCTCCATGGCTCTTCCAGCCCTGTAATACACGGTTCTGTCAATATGTGACCGCTCTGTCTTCTGGGACAAGTACAACAGTGAGGCTGTAATGTTAACAAGAAGCGGCGCTGTGCTGAGTGTGACACATACATTCTCTGATTTAAAACTCACAATTACAATGATCCTATTATAACACTCACTGTTCTAGATGAAAAACTTACTCAAGATCACACAGTTAGTACATAAAGTGGGATTTAAGTCAGGCAGTGTGACCAGAGAACCTACTCATTCCACACGACATTATTTGTGTTGGTTTGTGTGGTGTTCTTATCGGCTTGCAAGATGCTCTATCCATGCTCAATCCCTGCCTCCTAGTTGAGGACTATTCTGTGCCGATATCCTTCTCTTAACTGAACTATATCTTTACAGATAACAGCAAAGCCAGGTTTGGGGCCATTCTTAGGTGGGGAGGAAGAGCTTGAAAATCAATGCAAGGGGGACTTCTGTTTGGCCATAAGTGCCGCCAGTGATCTGAATGTTCTAGACACATCATCATCCCAAGGGCTCTTCTGAAAGGAGCAGAGATCTGCCAGAGAAAGAGGGGATCTCTGTGGAAATGAGTCTGTTTGTTCTGGGAAAACAGCAAAAACAACAAACCTTTAAAACATTTATTTATAAGCCTTTGAGAGATTTTCTTTGTAATCCTTGAGTTACCCTGCTTCATGCTTCCTCGTAAAATATGGTAGGGAAACTCTAAAATTACCAAAAATTCGACTTAATTATCAGCAGTTTTGACTCTCATCCCTGAATTTGTCACCTCTGTTTAACCCTCCTTGGTATTTAAATAGCTAATCTGGTGCTGGCTGCCGAGTCAACACTGTGCAAATCTCCAAGTGACTTCACAGTGACCTTCACAACTCGATTTATTTGGTATTTCCTTTGTGTTCCTTTATAGCAACTGACTGGCCTTTGCTAATTATTAAAAGTATTTGCTGAAGTATTCACCACCATCAGTAGATAAGAATTTCTGGGAACAGCCTGCCTTGTGACATTAGCTTGTCCCCCAAAGTATAAAACCAACTGAGAATAGTCTTTTTGAAAACTGGTTCAGGTTGATATATACATATATGAAAGCACGCATGCATTCATTCATTCAGCATATATTTATTGAGTGCCTACTATGTGCCTGGTCCTGTTCTAGGCAGTAACACACAAAAACTCTTGGCTTCACAGAACTGCCATCCTAGTGGGGTGGGATGAGGGAGACAGATAATGAGTACATAGAATATATTACATGTCAGATGGAGATACCTGCTATGGAGAAAAATAAGGCAGAAAACGGTGACTGAGAATAGAAGCTGTGTTTTAAAATAGAGTGCCATCCATGTTCACTGCAGCTTTACTCACATGCGTCCCCTACATTGGAAGGCGGACTCTTAACCACTGGACCACCAGGGAAGCCCCCCTCTTTTTTAGGGCTGAATAATATTCCACTGTAAGTACTGGGTTGGCCAAAAAGATCGTTTGGGTTTTTCGTAAGATGTTATGGAAAACCCGAACGAACCTTTTGGCCAACCCAATACCTACCATGTTTGTTTCATCCACTCCTCCATGGAAGAATATTCAGGTTGTTTCCATGTCTTGAGACATCCTGGTGATTGGCCAAATGTGTGACTCACACACTGTGACTGGCCCTATCACAGATGCTCCCTGATTTTTTAGTGATAATAGAACCCTCTGTGGACATGATAGACAAATGAGTCTCAGGGCAGTATTAAAGCTTTTAAGAGCCTGACAAGTTCAATCAGTCTTGATTTGGGAATGCTGCTCGCTCACATTTAGACTGTGCCATCCTGGGCAACCAGCCCCTTACTGTCACCCACATGATCCAGCCTGACACATAAACTGACTACATAATTTTCATCATAACTTCCCCTCCTCCTCCCTCGCCCCCCTCCCCTCCCCCTCCCCTTTTTCTCCCCCTTCTTCATCTAAGAGGAAAGGTCTGTGATCCTGGGAGATTTCTAATCCAGTGATTTCCATAGCTCCCTTTCTTCAGATCTTCCATTTTCATCTCCCCACCTTCAGCTCCCCAAGCCCTTAACACACAACTTTAAGGCGAAAGCCTTGAACATGGGTTTAGAAAATCTAGGAGAATCAGAAAGATAAACAGGTTCTTGGCATCTTCAGGGACCAGAGAGATGCAGAATATAACCCCAGAGGGCAGAACCCCCAGTACTTGTCATGGAGAGAGTACAGGACCCATCTCTGGTCCAAGAAGATCAGCTGGCTCCGCTTGCTCCTATATCGGGGCCTCTGGAACTTCTCAGCAGGGCTCCGGAGAAATTGGAAGGAGGCGGTGTGGCCTCCCCTTCTTTCTTTCAGGATCTACCCTTCTGCTCTAGGACACTGAGGCACTACAGGGGCATCTGCAGTTCCGCAGCTGCTGAGCTTAACGCCTGACCCCTGGGAAGGTGGGAATTAGGTGTTTGGGTGTCGTGAGTGTTTGGGGGTGATTTTAATGGCTCTGGAACTTGAAGCTGTTCCAGAAAACACCGAAGCGGTCAGTAGAATCAGGATCTTTTCACTGAAATCCACAAGGGTCACAAGAAAGACTGTCATTGGCCAGGCTCTCAGGCCATTCAAATAGGCAGAGAAGAGGGGATACAAACTCCGCCCAAGCCCCAGGGGGGATGGAGTTGGCACCGGGGACTTCTGGTCAACCCCTGGACAGAGGGCCAGGCATTTCAAAGGGTGCAGCAGCTAAGCGCCCTCCCCAGCAGCGCACTGCACGTCCGCGAGCGCGTTTCCAGGGAACCAAGGTCGGAATTAGGGTCCAGGTGGGAATCAGGCGCGCAACCAGCGAGAAGCACGAGCGGTGGAGGAATAGCCCAGAGAGCTTAAGCCCGGGAGAAGGGGCGCAGCGTTTTGGAGCGGGAGGATTTCGCCTTGCGCGCCCAGCGTACCGCCCAGGCGCCTCCAGAGTCCCGGGCAGGGGGTCCTCTCGCAGCTGGCGCAGCGGCCCCTGGCACCGCGCCCTTTGCCCAGCACCGCCTGGCTCCTCAGCAGCGTCCAGGAAGGGTCTCTGGTCAAAGACAGGGATCTGCGGCCATGACCGAGGTCGCGGAGCCGGAGCGGGGCTCCCCGGGTCCCCAGAGCCAGCCCGAGGGCTCGGCGCTTCAGGCGGAGAGACGGGGCGAGCCGGGGGCTTCCGGCCCTGAGGCGCAGAGGCAGGAGGCGAGAGAGGGCGCCGCGGAGGCGCCGAGGGGCGGGGGCCCGGGCGCAGCTGCGACGGCCGAGGTGACGCAAGGAGAAGGGCCGGGACCGGTCGGAGGGCGCGCTAGCGAGCTGGCGCCGGATGCAGGCGGTGGCCCGGGGGCCGAGACGCGGGGCGCGAGCGGAGAGCAGGGCGAGGCCGAGGCGCAGGAGGGCTCCCGGGAGGGAGAGGAGCGGGCGAGCGGCGCGGAGCTGGCGGAGGAGGCGAGCCCGGGGTGCGACGCGCAGGGCGAGGCCCCGGGGGAGGCCCAGGTGGAGCCTGGGGATCCCGCGGCCCCCGGGGCGAAGGGAGAGGAGGAGAGCGGGCCGGAGGAGCCGGGAGGCAGCGCGCCGGGGCCGGCGGGGGCCCGCGTGGACGCCGAGGGGCCGGCGGGGGACAGCACGGTCGCCGAGGGGCCGGCGGGGGCCCGCGTGGACGCCGAGGGGCCGGCGGGGGCCCGCGTGGACGCCGAGGGGCCGGCGGGGGCCCGCGTGGACGCCGAGGGGCCGGCGGGGGCCCGCGTGGACGCCGAGGGGCCGGCGGGGGACAGCACGGTCGCCGAGGGGCCGGCGGGGGCCCGCGTGGACGCCGAGGGGCCGGCGGGAATTAATTTTTAATTATTTAACATTAATTTGCAAATATTAATTTTCAAATAATAATGGTTAAGTGGAGATGTTCATGAGGCTTTAGTCTGTGTCAGGCATCCTTCTAAGTGCAGTTGATTCTTATTATTCACGGTAGTTGTATAAAGTTGCTGTGAGCACTGAATTAGAAAATACAGAACCGTTGATCCTGGAGAAATACAGGGTTAGGTCTCTGCAAGTCTTTGGTCACAGCTCTTTCGTCAACTGATCAATATATAGCCTTGTTTAATGTGTGTTTCTTTCTAAAACACATTATTGTGCCTGAGCAAATCTTATTTAACGCATATATTTTCTCCAGCACATCTGTAGCCTTCTTGCAAGTAAGAACACTAGACAGCATGTCAGCACTGTGCTTGGGGGCCATTTTAAACAGTGATGTCAGCAAAAAAGTGCAAAAACCTTGGCATTGAATAGACTGTGAAAAAGACACTTGTTTACAGCATGAGAGCTGAAATAAGAAGGCAGAGTGCAGCCTTATTCAACTTCAGATGGATGTGTATTAGATCATCGTAAGTGTACACCTTAAACTTACACAATGTTATATGTCAATGATATCTCAATAAAACAGGGAAAAGAAGTGGAGCACACAATCTTATGTCATGACTGTCATGACATGGGAACCTACACATTGGGCGGCTTTGTTTGTTTTTTTTTGCTGCTCAGCACATGTCTGCAGATGCCCACAAAAACCCCTGGAGTATTGATTTTGGGGTTACCAATATTTACAATGTAAATGGGGTTACAAATGCATACCAATAAAAAGATTTTTATCAAATCTTTGAATCTTCAAAGAATACAGGTTGACTATGCTTTATACCCATTGACTCATAACATCCCTGCTAGTGGGAAAGAGGAGTCCAAGGCACAGAGGGGTGCAGGGTCTGGGGAAGGCACTGGGGCCTCTCATCACTGCTCACGGTGGGACAATTGTTAACAGGCTGAAGAACAGGACCTCAGATTCTGGGGCTACCAGTGGAAATAAATAAACAACAATAAAAGGAAAGCCAGTTGAAAAGAGAACAAAATTTAGCAGCAGTATTTGGAAGGCTGGCAGCAGCGGGGCTGGGATTTGGGCGGTAGCCGTCATGGTCAACCTGCGTGATGGCTGTGACCCAAAGCCAGCCGTCTGCACAGAGACGGAGGCAGGCTCCCAAGACAGAGTTCGAGGTAAAAGTGGAGCCCAATCTCACTTATATGAGGAATCTAAAAAAGCGAACTCATAGAAACAGAGTAGGTTGGTGGTTGCCAGGGGCTGGGGGTGAGGGAAATGGGGAGGTGTTGGTCAAAGGGTACTTTCAGTTATAAGATGAAAATGTTCTTCAGAGCTAATGTACAGCGTGGTGATTATAATTAACAACACCGTATTGTTATATTTCAAAGTTGCTAAGAGAGTAGATCTTAAATGTTCCCACCATACCAGAAAACAGTAGTTATATGAGAGAATAGCAGGGTTAAGTAACCTCATTGTGGTAATCATTTCACAATATGGATGTGTATTAGATCACTGTAAGTGTACACCTTAACCTTACACAATGTTATATGTCAATGATATCTCAATAAAGCAGGGAAAAGAAGTGGAACACACAATCTTATGTCATGACTGTCAGGGATTATTTTCATGACTTTTTTTTTTTTTTTTTTTTTTTTTGGCTGTGCTGGCAGCTTGCGGGATCTAAGTTCTCTGACCAGGGCTCGAACCAGTGCCGCCTGCAGCGGAAGCATGGAGTCCTAACCACTGGACTGCCAGGGAAGTCCCATGACTGTTATTTTTATACAAGGTCCAAAAGTGATCAAGCTGTCCTCATGGGAAATATTTCAGGAAAAAAAGCCATATTACAGAGTCAGTTTTTCACAACTCTTAATTTAATCCAGTTCAATTCCATGTTATTTCACTCTGTGGCATCCCCTGTTTCTACTGCAGGACAGTGACCACCTCCCAGGGTTGTTGAGAGTGTTAAACGATTTAAAAAATAATACCTATGTGTTGAGAGCTTTCTTTATAGTGGCAAAATGCAAAACATTCTATTTACAAGAGGGAGCTGGACAGAAAAACCTTTAAGGTCCTTTCAATATTTAATATTCTAAGAGAGTGTGAGATCTTTACTGAGCACTTGTTGTGGATATGACGTGTGCTTATCCAGCAGAGCACACCTGCCTAGAAAGTGGCAGGTGGAAGTTTAAGTGCTATATCTCCAGGGACAGGGGATCTCTTCCCTTCCAGTGCCCTTTTGTCTCAGCGTTGGGATCTACTCATTGCCTTTCTTCTGTTTGACTCCATTGACAAGGAGTCTGCTCCCTGCCATTCCTGAGAAACCAACTTTAAATGAACAAGAACCTTGATCTTATTTCTGGCAACCACACCAGCAATAGACTTATGGAAGAATTTGAAACCTAATTTAGACTGCAGTAAAGAAGGTATAAAGAGGATAAATTACTGGGCCACGTAAATTTCTAATCTATGCAATTATGCCTTATTTTCAAGATGGGTTATTATAATATATAAGAAATAGTTACGTATAATTTGTTTACGTTAGGCTACTCTACCTGAAATATTTACATTTGGGGTTTTGCCTCAATAATATTGTGCTAATTAGTAAGTAAATGTAATAAAATAAAGCCAAATATCTTTATTGTTTTTTCCCCAACATGCATAGTCATCAGTCTGCTTTTAAGATTTTGTTCCTTGTTGCCAGGCATACAGGGCTCTTTATTTTCTTTCTTTCCTCCGTCCCTCCCTCCCTCTCTCTGTCTTCCTTCCTTCCTTCCTTTTTTCTTTCTTTCAATCAATAAGTCATTGTCTTGGCTCATTTGAGACGAAGAAGTAAACCTTATCGATAACTGAAGCTTGACTTCCCTCTTTGCTTTTAATGTAAGCATTTGTTTCTAATGTATTCTGGATTAAGACACCAGAAAATAGGTTAGATTGAATTCAGAATAAAGATGTGGGCTCTGAATGAGAGTTCTGTTGCTCATCCTTGAGGAAAACACTCACACTTTAAGAGGCCAACTCAGTTATATTGTTTTTGGCTCTGGGAGACCTTCTTTGCTCAATTCCTGATTCCGAGCTTTGTTCTGCTCTGATTAGCGACTTCCAAATACGTGAGATGTTAGGTCATAGATTACAGAGCTTGAGTGCTGAAGGAACCCCAAGATCATTTCATCTAAGATGATGCCCATCAAATGAAAGGGATTTCCCAAGGTCACTGAACTCGTAACTCACCCATTAAACGTACGCATCCCCAGAGAGAATGTGCCAACAGGGCTGAGGCTCTCACCCAGGCAGACCCTCCTTTTCAGCCTTTATCTCCTTCAAGTCCAATCAGATTAAACCCAACCAAATTAAAAAGGAAAATCCAGACGTTAGTAGTATTTTGGAGTGTAAAAATCATGAGATAGATGATTTTTTTAAACTGTTAAATAAACAAATTTCAAACATTTGACTCCAAGTTTTTAAGAAATGTATTTCAATATATGAGCAACAAAAATATTTTTACAAAGCATGGCCTTGGCATATTTGGGCTTAGAGGGTGTAGTTAAGGATCTTCAGAGTAATCAAATGTATAATCAAAGTTATTGATGAAACATGGCGTGGTACACCAGCATGAACCAGCGTGAATATGAAAAACTCTATAGTTTAGTAAGCTTTTTCCACTCTGCAGAATTACACAGGGAAGGAACCTTGTTTTGTTTACGTTTAATTTTACAACACTACCTAAGGCTGTGTCACAAGAAATGTCCTCAGAAAATGTTTGTGTGGTGGTGGATGAATGGATAAATAATGGGTGGGTGGATAGAAGGATGATGGATGGATAGATTTGGTGATGGATAGGAGGATGGATGGGTAGAATTTCTCAGTTCTGTGAGTAAAATGGAGATAGCTTTTCTAGATGACAGTTTTCATGACTACATCACATAGAGATGATAACCTAATTTTGAGATGTGGTACATGCTTTCTTTGTGGACCTGTAGTTACAGGTAGAAGGAAAAAAACAAAGGATTGTAAACTCTAACAATGGCCAGCTTGTGCTTCTCCTGGCTGCTTAGAACTTACCTAGTTCCTGGCAGGTGACAGGTATTTTCTGGGTATTTAGGAACAAGACATACTCCAGTGCATCCTTTCTCTTTAGCTTCATCTATCATTTTCTTTCTTTCTTTCTTTTTTTTGCTGTACGCGGGCCTCTCACCGTCGTGGCCTCTTCTGTTGCAGAGCACAGGCTCCGGACGCGCAGGTCCAGCGGCCACGGCTCACGGGCCCAGCCGCTCCGCGGCACGTGGGATCTTCCCGGACCGGGGCACGAAGCCGTGTCCCCTGCATCGGCAGGCGGGCTCTCAACCACTGCGCCACCAGGGAAGCCCCAGTTTCATTTTTTAAAAATTGAAATATAGCTGATTTGCAATGTTGTGTCAGTTTCTGGTGTACAGCAGAGTTGATTCAGTTATATACATATATATATACGTATATGTATACATATATATTCTTTTTCATATTCTTTTCCATTATGGTTTGTTACAGAATATTGAATATAGTTCCCTGTGCTATACAGTAGGACACTGTTGTTCATCTATATCTATTTTATATACAGTAGCTTGTATCTGCTAATCCCAAACTCCTAATTTATCCCTCCCCCCCTTTCCCCCTTGGTAACCATAAGTTTGTTTTCTATGTCTGTGAGTCTGTTTCTGTTTTGTAATTAATAAGTTCATTTGTACCATATTTTAGATTCCACATATAAGTGATATCATATGATATTTGTCTTTCTCTTTCTGACTTACTTCACTTAGCATGATAATCTCTAGGTCCATCCATGTTGCTGCAAATGGCATTATTTCCTTCTTTTTTATGGCTGAGTATCTTCTTTGTTCTGATAAATTTTTTCCGTTTCTGGTAAGGAATAGAAGTTTAGAAAATTGAATTTCCTAAATTCAGTCAATGTATCAATGGATGCCCAGGGCCATGAAAGCTGGCTTCCTGTCAAGTGCCAAGGGATTAATATTTTAGAAAAATGTCCTGTGTTCTGGAAGAGTGAGGTGGATCCCAATACCTGGGCAGTACAAAACAATAGGACCAGTCATTACCTGAAGGCAAATTAATAATATTAGTTGACTATTGTGCAGAAATTTCATGGCTTACAAAACACTTTACATACTATCCCTTTCAATGCTCAGAAGAATCCAGTGTAGTAAGTGTATCACCAATGGCCAGTAAGCAGCAGAATTATGATTTGAAGCTAGATTTCTAGACGCAAATCTTATAACCTCTCCATCATTTCAAAAAGCTTCTCATCAGGACTCAGTAAAATGTAGGAGATGCTTTAAGGGGTGGAAGCCCACCCCAACACAGCATAGCCCCCCTGGTGTTCCTGGTGGAGTCAACATATTGGATTACGGCATTTTCTATGGCAGATCTTGTAATTAGGGGGCTGGTGGGAGGCTGGATTTCCTCTAACACAATGATTGACATTATGGGCTGGTTAATTCTTTGTTGTGGCGACTGTCCTGCGTGTTGGAGGAGGTTTAGTAGCAGCCCTCACTTCTACCCACTAGACGCCAGTAGCACCCTCCCATCATGACAACCAGAAAATGTGTCCCAGACGTTATCAAATATCCCATGATATAATTGCCCCTAGCCGAAACCCAGTGTTCAATATTAAGCTCTGTTCCGTCAGGTCAGCATCCATCACCATAGATTACAGGGTTCAGGAGCACTGGAGAGAAGAGATCACAAACTCAGGGTTTAAAAGACTTAAAAGAAACCCAAGTTTCTAAAACTTGTAGGGAGCAAATACAGGAGATTGGACGTTTTTAGAAAAACACCAACATGCTAAGAAAAAACTTTACAGATAGAGGTGATAGGTTTAAAATTGACTTTCAGTCTTAATTTCTGGTATTGTATCCATCTCCACCAGGATTGTTACTGATGCTGCTGGCGTCAGAAGGAAAGGAAACAGAATAAGAAGCTCAAACTACAGTCTCCAGGACCCAGAAACCAGCTTGGCAGGAGGGTTCCATACCCTTCCTCCCCTGCCCTTCTCCCTGGGCTGAATGTGTTCTATCAACAGTCCTTCCAGATTATGGGCTACCTTTCCAGAAAGGCTTTCAGCAGGTGGTTTGTCATAAAAATTTGGGGACTCCTCCCTCTGCCCCTCCTTCTCCTTCACCCCTCCCTCCTCCTCTTTTTCTTGCTTTTTAAAATCTCTTCTACCATCCAAAAAGCATTTGTTCAAAGTTTAGTTTGTTTTGAGAACAGTGCAAATTCACATGAAAAGAAAACAGAAGAAACGCTCACTAGCTAGATGAGTTCGTGGTGGAGTGACCATATAATTCACTGTCCAAACTAGGACACTTTTGAGAGCGGCAGGGGATGCTCTTATGATCATGCTGCCGAGACAGAAGGCATAACCTGGACCATCCCATGCTAAGTGGGACAAAGTGTCACCCTAGTTCTCCATGGCTCTTCCAGCCCTGTAATACACGGTTCTGTCAATATGTGACCGCTCTGTCTTCTGGGACAAGTACAACAGTGAGGCTGTAATGTTAACAAGAAGCGGCGCTGTGCTGAGTGTGACACATACATTCTCTGATTTAAAACTCACAATTACAATGATCCTATTATAACACTCACTGTTCTAGATGAAAAACTTACTCAAGATCACACAGTTAGTACATAAAGTGGGATTTAAGTCAGGCAGTGTGACCAGAGAACCTACTCATTCCACACGACATTATTTGTGTTGGTTTGTGTGGTGTTCTTATCGGCTTGCAAGATGCTCTATCCATGCTCAATCCCTGCCTCCTAGTTGAGGACTATTCTGTGCCGATATCCTTCTCTTAACTGAACTATATCTTTACAGATAACAGCAAAGCCAGGTTTGGGGCCATTCTTAGGTGGGGAGGAAGAGCTTGAAAATCAATGCAAGGGGGACTTCTGTTTGGCCATAAGTGCCGCCAGTGATCTGAATGTTCTAGACACATCATCATCCCAAGGGCTCTTCTGAAAGGAGCAGAGATCTGCCAGAGAAAGAGGGGATCTCTGTGGAAATGAGTCTGTTTGTTCTGGGAAAACAGCAAAAACAACAAACCTTTAAAACATTTATTTATAAGCCTTTGAGAGATTTTCTTTGTAATCCTTGAGTTACCCTGCTTCATGCTTCCTCGTAAAATATGGTAGGGAAACTCTAAAATTACCAAAAATTCGACTTAATTATCAGCAGTTTTGACTCTCATCCCTGAATTTGTCACCTCTGTTTAACCCTCCTTGGTATTTAAATAGCTAATCTGGTGCTGGCTGCCGAGTCAACACTGTGCAAATCTCCAAGTGACTTCACAGTGACCTTCACAACTCGATTTATTTGGTATTTCCTTTGTGTTCCTTTATAGCAACTGACTGGCCTTTGCTAATTATTAAAAGTATTTGCTGAAGTATTCACCACCATCAGTAGATAAGAATTTCTGGGAACAGCCTGCCTTGTGACATTAGCTTGTCCCCCAAAGTATAAAACCAACTGAGAATAGTCTTTTTGAAAACTGGTTCAGGTTGATATATACATATATGAAAGCACGCATGCATTCATTCATTCAGCATATATTTATTGAGTGCCTACTATGTGCCTGGTCCTGTTCTAGGCAGTAACACACAAAAACTCTTGGCTTCACAGAACTGCCATCCTAGTGGGGTGGGATGAGGGAGACAGATAATGAGTACATAGAATATATTACATGTCAGATGGAGATACCTGCTATGGAGAAAAATAAGGCAGAAAACGGTGACTGAGAATAGAAGCTGTGTTTTAAAATAGAGTGCCATCCATGTTCACTGCAGCTTTACTCACATGCGTCCCCTACATTGGAAGGCGGACTCTTAACCACTGGACCACCAGGGAAGCCCCCCTCTTTTTTAGGGCTGAATAATATTCCACTGTAAGTACTGGGTTGGCCAAAAAGATCGTTTGGGTTTTTCGTAAGATGTTATGGAAAACCCGAACGAACCTTTTGGCCAACCCAATACCTACCATGTTTGTTTCATCCACTCCTCCATGGAAGAATATTCAGGTTGTTTCCATGTCTTGAGACATCCTGGTGATTGGCCAAATGTGTGACTCACACACTGTGACTGGCCCTATCACAGATGCTCCCTGATTTTTTAGTGATAATAGAACCCTCTGTGGACATGATAGACAAATGAGTCTCAGGGCAGTATTAAAGCTTTTAAGAGCCTGACAAGTTCAATCAGTCTTGATTTGGGAATGCTGCTCGCTCACATTTAGACTGTGCCATCCTGGGCAACCAGCCCCTTACTGTCACCCACATGATCCAGCCTGACACATAAACTGACTACATAATTTTCATCATAACTTCCCCTCCTCCTCCCTCGCCCCCCTCCCCTCCCCCTCCCCTTTTTCTCCCCCTTCTTCATCTAAGAGGAAAGGTCTGTGATCCTGGGAGATTTCTAATCCAGTGATTTCCATAGCTCCCTTTCTTCAGATCTTCCATTTTCATCTCCCCACCTTCAGCTCCCCAAGCCCTTAACACACAACTTTAAGGCGAAAGCCTTGAACATGGGTTTAGAAAATCTAGGAGAATCAGAAAGATAAACAGGTTCTTGGCATCTTCAGGGACCAGAGAGATGCAGAATATAACCCCAGAGGGCAGAACCCCCAGTACTTGTCATGGAGAGAGTACAGGACCCATCTCTGGTCCAAGAAGATCAGCTGGCTCCGCTTGCTCCTATATCGGGGCCTCTGGAACTTCTCAGCAGGGCTCCGGAGAAATTGGAAGGAGGCGGTGTGGCCTCCCCTTCTTTCTTTCAGGATCTACCCTTCTGCTCTAGGACACTGAGGCACTACAGGGGCATCTGCAGTTCCGCAGCTGCTGAGCTTAACGCCTGACCCCTGGGAAGGTGGGAATTAGGTGTTTGGGTGTCGTGAGTGTTTGGGGGTGATTTTAATGGCTCTGGAACTTGAAGCTGTTCCAGAAAACACCGAAGCGGTCAGTAGAATCAGGATCTTTTCACTGAAATCCACAAGGGTCACAAGAAAGACTGTCATTGGCCAGGCTCTCAGGCCATTCAAATAGGCAGAGAAGAGGGGATACAAACTCCGCCCAAGCCCCAGGGGGGATGGAGTTGGCACCGGGGACTTCTGGTCAACCCCTGGACAGAGGGCCAGGCATTTCAAAGGGTGCAGCAGCTAAGCGCCCTCCCCAGCAGCGCACTGCACGTCCGCGAGCGCGTTTCCAGGGAACCAAGGTCGGAATTAGGGTCCAGGTGGGAATCAGGCGCGCAACCAGCGAGAAGCACGAGCGGTGGAGGAATAGCCCAGAGAGCTTAAGCCCGGGAGAAGGGGCGCAGCGTTTTGGAGCGGGAGGATTTCGCCTTGCGCGCCCAGCGTACCGCCCAGGCGCCTCCAGAGTCCCGGGCAGGGGGTCCTCTCGCAGCTGGCGCAGCGGCCCCTGGCACCGCGCCCTTTGCCCAGCACCGCCTGGCTCCTCAGCAGCGTCCAGGAAGGGTCTCTGGTCAAAGACAGGGATCTGCGGCCATGACCGAGGTCGCGGAGCCGGAGCGGGGCTCCCCGGGTCCCCAGAGCCAGCCCGAGGGCTCGGCGCTTCAGGCGGAGAGACGGGGCGAGCCGGGGGCTTCCGGCCCTGAGGCGCAGAGGCAGGAGGCGAGAGAGGGCGCCGCGGAGGCGCCGAGGGGCGGGGGCCCGGGCGCAGCTGCGACGGCCGAGGTGACGCAAGGAGAAGGGCCGGGACCGGTCGGAGGGCGCGCTAGCGAGCTGGCGCCGGATGCAGGCGGTGGCCCGGGGGCCGAGACGCGGGGCGCGAGCGGAGAGCAGGGCGAGGCCGAGGCGCAGGAGGGCTCCCGGGAGGGAGAGGAGCGGGCGAGCGGCGCGGAGCTGGCGGAGGAGGCGAGCCCGGGGTGCGACGCGCAGGGCGAGGCCCCGGGGGAGGCCCAGGTGGAGCCTGGGGATCCCGCGGCCCCCGGGGCGAAGGGAGAGGAGGAGAGCGGGCCGGAGGAGCCGGGAGGCAGCGCGCCGGGGCCGGCGGGGGCCCGCGTGGACGCCGAGGGGCCGGCGGGAGGGGCTCACAGGGCCCAGGGTGAGCCCCGGGACGGAGGGGACAGCAGCCCCCTGACCCAGGCCGAGGCGATTGAGGCCGCAGCGTCGGAGAGCTCGGAGTGCAGCCCTGGGGAGCTTGCGGGGGAGCCTCTGGGTGCAGCGGCGTGGGCCGCAGGAGAGACAGGGGGCCGGGAGGGAGAGGAGTCGCAGGAAGCGGCCCCCGGGGGCGCGAGGGCAGATGCTGGCGAGGACGAGGACCAGGGTGGGCCCCTGGGGCAGAGAGAGGAGGCAGAGGAGGAGAGGCGAGAGCGGGGTCCAGAGGGGCCAGGCGAGGACGAGCCCCTCGACGGCAGCGCGGATGCGGAGGCGGCCCAGCCGACGGAGGCCCGGGAGCCCGAGGCCGAGCTGAGCAACCACCTGGCGGATGGGGGCAGCACCGAGCGCGGCGACGAGACCGCGCCGGTGAACGGCGGCCAGGAGGACGGCGAGGTGTCCGAGGAGGGGGCCCCGGGACAGGAGCACGACATCACCCTCTTCGTGAAGGTAAATCTGGCTTCTTGCAACTCCCAGGACGCCCCCTCCCATCCTTAGTCTTGGTCTGTTGAGATCTGATCCCAGAGGGACGCGCAGGGATTCAAGCTCTTGGCGCCCTGATGGTCAGCGAGCACTTCTATCCGCGGGGTGGGGGTGGCGGGGTGCGGGTGGAGGGAGAGGCGGGACAGCTTGGGTTTCAGGGACAAGAGGTAAAGGAGAGTTACGAAGAAGAACTGAGGGTTTGGAAGCAAAAAGATTGGGGTGAGAGTGGTGGGAGATGGGGATGCGGGTCCAGCGTCCCCCTGTCCTTTGTACTGAAAATCCTAACTGGCCCTTCTAGTCAGGAGGTTATTAAAGAATTCACTTAAGAAAACAAAAACAAAACCCCACCAAACCCTGCTGATGTTCAGAGCAATTTCTGCCAAAGGAAACGTTAATACCTAAAGTGAATAAATGCAAACAGGGAGGTTGCCACGTGAGAGGTATCTCCGGACTCAAACCTCAGAGACCCAGAGCGGGCCCAAATTTTCAGCTCCATAAAGGTCTTTCATTTCTGTAGAATTGATAAGGTATGTTTGGGAGGAAAGTGGAAGTTTATTTAAATACTGTAATATTTATTGAACATTTAACATTTACTTTGGAAGAATGCAAGATGCTGACGACTTGAACATCGTCTGCCTTTATGTCCTATTTTCAGCCTTACTTCAAAGATTCAAAGAGGACAAGGATTCTGTAGAGACACAAGTGAGGAAGTTTTAGGTTTAAATAGACATTCCTACAAGACATCACAAATGAGGAGCTAGGTTCCGGGGGCAGCTCACAGGAGGATCTTTGTTGAAAAAGCCCTTCCCAAAGACCTTTGGCCAGATGGGGAAAACAGCAGATAATAAGGTGAAGAATGTGCATTGTACGTTGAATCATAATCCTTCCAAAATACTTTCAGGCTTATAGAGGCCGGGTATGACCTAAACCTCCGTGGGAGAAATATAAGCAAATTTTAATAAGCCAAAAAAAAAAAAAAAAAACAAAAAACAACAGTTCCCAAAGTGATTAAGATCAGAATTTCAGGAATTCTTTGGGTGGCAAGAGAGTTTGGGAAGAACAGGCTTGCGTTTCTTCACTGTGCTGTTCTGAGCAAATTTTAAGATGCTGAGACATTTTAAAATTATGTATTGGGACATAACCTGAGGGTACAATCCCTAGGAGGGTCACTGGGAGCCAGAAGACTTCCGGGAAGTTAGGGGAGGGGGAAATCCGAGCACAGTGCTGCTGTGTGTGCCCCAAATCTGCTCCTTGGTTTAAGAAGTTTCCCCTTGTTCTGGTCGCCTGACTACATAATTCCAGCCTCTTGTTACAGCTTTAGAGACACAGCTTCCTAATAGTCTTTCTGCTTCCATCCTCGGCTCCCTCGAATCTAGTCCCTTTGTCATAGCCAGTGAGCTAAGAAAGAAAAGATCTGATCACTTTGTTTCCTAGTATAATCTTCAGTTGTTTATTACAGACCTTCAGATAAATCCACACTCCTTAGCCAGGTCACAAGGCTATCCGTGATGTGATTCCTGTCTCCCTGAGTATCCCTCCCACCCAGCTTTGCTACCCATGGTACCGCTATGCCAGCCTTGTTAAACTACTTACTGGGCCTAGAGGGAACCACGTTCTTTTCTGCCTGGAAATTTTGCATATGCTGTCCCTGAATCGAGTTTCCTTCCCTTCACCCCTCTCGGTCTCCCCTGCCTGGCTATCTGCTATGTGTCCAAGATTCAGCATGGCCATCATCTCCTCTGGGGAGACTTTTCCAACCCCAATTTGGGTTGGGTATCCCTCTGTCGAAGCTCCACTCACATGGCACTACCCTCTGCGTGCTGTCTCCAACGTGGAGCACAGGTCTGGAACGTGAAGGTGTGTGTGAACGGGTGGCTGCCTGTGTGAGATAGTAGACTGTAGTGATCAACAGCACAGAGTTTAGCGCCAGTGGGTCTGGGACCAAATCCTGGCTCTGCTCCTTTCTTGCTGTGTGACCTTGGGCAAGTTACTTGATCTTTCTGTGCCTTTGTTGCTTATGGATAAAACAAGAACAATCATAGTTCCTACTCCATGAGTTTGTGGGGCATTCAAAATTAGGATTGCATAAAACACTCAGAACAATACCTGACTTGAAATAAGCCTGCTATAAATGTGACTTCTTATTGTTACATCTGCTCAGCTCTGATACACTTTCATTGATTTTGCACAGGAATAATTCCTTTCCCGTTCCATCCCTGCCATTTTATTTATGTATTTACTTCTGGCAAATATCTCTAGCTTCCTAATTACCTCCATTTTCTGGGGAAAAGAATATTATGAAAGGTAAAAACAAGTTGTTTTCTCAGACTCTCCTCAGTAGTTTGTGAAGGCAGAGGCAAGGGGGCATGTCGTGGACTGCTTAACCAGAATGTTTGACTCTGATGATTGGCTTGGTGCTCAGTTGTTGTTTTCCTTTCTTTAAGGAAACAAATGGATCTCCAAACAGTGAAATTGGTTTTCAAGCAACTACTGCTTGATACAGCTTCTGAGGGTCACCTAGGATGTGCCCCGTAGGATTGTTAAGGCATGTCTCACTTTCTTCTTCTTTTTTTTTTTTTGGCCATGCCACACTGCATGCGGGATCTTAGCTCCCTAACCAGGGATCGAACCCGTGCCCCCTGCATTGGAAGCATGGGGTCTTAACCACTGGACTGCCAGGGAAGTCCTTACTTTCTTCTTATCCTTCTAATCATTCTCTTGAAAAACAAAAGATCCCAAAACACAAATCAAGCAAAAACCCTTTAGACTATTTTAGCTCTTGAGTTTGTAATACTCGATCTAAAATCCTTAAATTAGTTCAGAATAGGATTTCTTTGCCAGATTTAACTTTCTCTAGGTTCCTTCTTTGGGTTCCACTTTATCTGGATGCTGTATTCCATAATGGACGTCTGACCTCCTGGGTTTTGTAAACATGTCAGGCAAGTGTGCCTTGGTGGGTTTTTGATTCCATGATTGATGTGTAAAATTCACAGAACTGTTCTTTAAGGAGAGAACTACAGTGTTTCTCTAAACATTCTCCTAGCCTTCATATGACAGCCCACTAAACACAATTTTAAAAATTGACTAGCCCTCATTCTATTTGGGAACTTTTAACTTTTACATTTCTTCCTGTTTAAAAAAATAAATGTACTGGTTACAAATAAATGTATTGGTTACCAGAAAGTAATGACATACGACCCAATAAAATGTAATAATAAAATCTGCTTCTAATTTCAGCTACCTGGTGGTTTATGTTCCCCATCTTTGTGAGAATTGTCATTTTATTAATTTGTCATTTTGTTTTATTCTATACGTATGCAAGAATGTATTCTTGGATGTAAAAGAGTCAGGAATGTATAGAACAGGCCACAGGAAAGCCTCCTTGAATTATTGTATGGTAAATGAATTGCTGACTATGCTAATTTTTAGTTCTGCTTTCTCAAAGAAGTGTTCATTATTTACCATCAAATTATACGGCAACGCTGCAATGTATTTAGTAAGAAAGATTCTTTTCTTCTTTGTTCGTGAAAAGGAAGGATGACAACATAATAACACACCAACATAGTAACAACAAACGACAAACAAAATACTAACACCATAGCGTAAGGTTAGGACTTCAGCAGCTGTGGCAGTTTAGTCATCAAGGAAGTCTCACTTACAGGTTCGGATCGTCTAATACTTTGAGGCAGTGTCTAGGGATGGGATAGTCTGAGATATGGATTTTCTGGCAAATTCACATGACTTAAAAGATCTTAATGTGACCAGTGAATAATCCTGGGCCAGAGTCTAAGAGTTGCTTAAACTACATTTCGGAGATCATTCATATAACCAATAATACACAGCTAACACTGAGCTTGAAAACTTGCATTTGTCATCACATTTGGGTTCTCCAGGGAGGTGAAACTGAGGACGGAACAAAGTAGAACTTGAGAAAGACATGGCCTTTGAGTATAACCAACAAGGACCTACTGTATAGCACAGGGAACTCTGCTCAATGTTATGTGGCAGCCTGGATGGGAAGGGAGTCTGGGGGAGAATGGATACATGTATATGTATGGCTGAGTTGCTTTGCTGTGCACCTGAAACTATCAGAGCGTTGTTAATCGACTATACTCTAATATAAAATAAAAAATTTAAAAAAAAGACAAGCCTTTGAATGAGCATTGTCACCTGGAGATACCTCCCCTCCCCAAATAAATAAGTAAATAAATCAAGCCTCCCAAGCATTGTCATATCACATGGGGGGATGGGAGTGGGACGGGGGTCTGTTGGGACCAACATCTGATGCACTCCTGGTGGGTCAGAAGGCTGCAGCTGTCTGTGCATCTTTAGCCAGGTGTGAGCAGGCTGAGACCTGCTCTGTGGGGTTTGGTCTCTGAAGAGCTTGAAAGAGAGATGTTATTTTCACACCTAAGTATGAATTGTGTGTTTAGAAGGGAAATGAGCAAAAATGCACTTCTGGGACTTTAATTTTTCCCGCCAAATGACAGTTTTTTGTCATTTGTTTTCTGAGTGTCAACGCCACTTACTTACAAATTACATCTATGAAATCATACAAGGTTAGTTGGGATGGAAACCAAGGTGGAACATCATGCTTTGCTAACTTCTTATGCACACGTGTGCACACAGTGCATGCACATGAGTGAGATCCACAGGGTGTCCTTACTGCCTGGCATGGTGGTGGGCTCGTGGGAGGTCCTCAATCAGTGATTTTTGGTAATGGTAGGTAAATAACCAGATGGATGGATGATTGGTTCAAGGTGACTTGGCTAGTGAGAAGCTGGACTCAAGCCCTGCTCCCCACTGCCCCAGTCTAGTGTCCCTTGTGGAAGAGCCAGAGACACTCTTCTCCATGAAGATGTCATAGTCTGGCACAGGGTCTGGTACATAATGGGCACGCTGGTAATGCTGGTAGGAAGAGAAGATGGGATCAAGGATGAGTAGGAAGCTATGCGAGTATATATAGG